ACCACAAAATCTAGCGTGCATTTATGACTGAAAAGATAGTAATAGGTCTTTTCAGTTTTGATCATTTTAAAGGTGCTAAACAAGACAAGGATGATTGCGAATTTGTTCCATTATTATCATTTTTACATCAGCATTAATTGTTTTTCCCTGAACTATGTGAAATACGAGCACACAAAAAATAATCACTGAAAAAAAGAAGTGCTGTTGACTTTCTCTGAAGCTTGAGTTCAATGGAGAAATAATACCTTGGTAATGACAACGATTGCCTTTACATTATCCGCATTTCCCCTGCGCTACAATAAAGACTTCTTCCATTTATTCATGCAGGAACATCAAAGATGGTCTCAGGAGATCTACAGAATTGTAATGAGTTTTCTCTTTATGTAAACAAGCTGCTTTAATTAGCTTCATATGTGATATGGAATCTATCAGCAATTAGCATCTTTGATCAAAAGCTGCACTAAAGCCAGTTTCTTCCAGGATGTTTGATTTGCATGAAAAAGTAGATGAAGCACAACATGTTTGAACGGAGCAGAGTAGGTACCATATCAGTATCTTTTTTTGGTGTACCTATTAATAACCACCACCTTTACACAAAATGTGCAGTGGACATTTTCTGATGGACATAATCGATTTACAAGATATATCGGGCTTGAAAAGCGAAAGAAGTTTGGCTCATAATTCTGAAAAATGTCTCACACATGTAACTCCCTTAAAAATGCTTTTCTTCTGAAACAGGTGCAAATTCTAGTGGCAAGAAAATAGTCAGAGATAATACTGAAATACTACCTCACATACATCTCAACACAGGGTAGGAACACATGCAATGTCATGGAAGTCTACCAACTAAAACCAGAAGAGAAAATTATTGCTTTGTTTCTCCAACTTCTGATATAGTTTCTTTTCAGCACTTAATTTGAAATCTAATTATTGTTGACAGAGATCGGAAGCAAGCATATTAAGGCACCTAAACTTAGCATTCCTTGAGAACTCTGAAGAAATAGCTTTGCCTTTTCTCTTTGTGTGCAGAGCTCCATGTTTTAACCTCCCTCGTGTTTTCAAATTCCGCTTTTGTCAGAAGCAACGTCTCCTCAGCGAAAATCACTACAACCACCTCTCTGAACAAGTCAAGGACCAGGTTGAGCCAGCTGAGCATTAGATTTATATCCGAATATGTCCTAGACATATCAGCAAGAAAATTAACCGTGTGTTAGCATGACAAAAAAACACGCAAGACTCAGTAATGGATTAATTCAGGGCTCAGACCTGCTGCAGACAACTGTCTTCATCATAAGTAGTACCGGGTAGGTTTGCACTAACTCACACCTCCGGAGGGGTCACTCCTGCTTCTCTGACCCTCCCCCGTCCTCTGTGTGTCCTTTATGCTCCCATACCTCCTCCCACCCCCCTCCTGCCTTTGCTGCTTTCTGCTGTAGCTGTGCTGCTGTCGGGGTGACTCCCATGACCCTACCAAAAGCTCTCACAGGCAGCACTGTGATATTGCAAATGTTCAAAACCCTGACAGTTATTAGGGTGCCCTTGCATCTCCCATCGCTCTTGCAGGCACCACAGTTTCAGCATGCTCATTTTCAGCCTTGTGAACAGTACGGCTTGGTGAGACTGGCATTGGAAAGATGTGTGAGTGGAAACTGTAAGCCAGTGCTTGGTTTATCCATCGGGTTAGCTAAAACAACATGCATGGTGTCTTATCGACATTGCAGATTTAGAGTGCGCTTTATTTCTGGGTGCTAGCTCATGCCACCTCCACATTCATCTGAGGAGAAACCTTTTACAGCACTCCCTCAGCACTACTTACTGCTCTCAGCTCAGCTCTGCTGCCATGAACCCCCCGCGCATCCAGCCTTCCCCTGTATGCAACTTCAGCATCTCGTTTTCTAATGGGAAATACTTTGTACTGTAATGTGAGGAGATGGCAAGAAAGCAAACAAGCAAAGACACTTCATGTCTTACAATCAAATCCATTTGATTTGAGCATTATCATATTTTCCACCCATCCGGCTGGACTAAGTGTGCCTTTGGAACAGAACAACTTACAGCTATACCCTGTTCTTCGATCCATGACCTGCTTTGCAGGGGGCAAGAGAGGCAAAAAGGGACAGTAACACATTATTCTTCCATTTCTGCTGTTTGCCAGTTAGAAACATCCCAAATCAGTGCAAACCTTGAGTCAAAGGGAAATTTTGCTCCACTGGTGCCAAGTTCTGCATAGCAGAGCCAAGCACGAATGCTAAGAGTTGAAGTGAAATGCTAGTCAATGAGGCAGAGCCTGCTTCTGCAAGCAGCAGTTCCTTTGAATTAAGGGTTATACCTTGGTCAGCACATTGAACTCCCACTGTGGGCCCTGGGATGCCAAGAACGAGGTCAAAGAGGTGCAACATAATTAATGTTGTGTTTTAAGAACAAACCATTGTCCATTCTGCCAAACTGTGCTTTCGTTCTTTCTCAAACCCCGTGCTCACATTTATTGAATGCTGGATATTTGCTGGACTAGTTCTGCTAACCATTACATATTTCATATTGCACTTTTAGCATTTCATCAACCATGAATAAATCTGGACTTACAGAGGGTAGGTCACAAGGAAATAGAACTTCAAGACAAAAAGAGAAATAGATTTATGGAGAAAAGGTCAATTTAAAATAGATTTTTTTCCTAGTGTAATTGAATCTACATTCATTTTCAATTTAAAAAAACAAAAATGAAGTATTGAGTCATTACAAGGGCCAGACAATTGTCAGAGCTACACTGGGTTGAACTCAAATTATACTGCAGTAACTGCTCAAAGGAAGCCCAGTTAAAATAGAAGCAAATGAGTAAACAATTTCTTTCCCTTCCCACCCCCTTTTGTCCTGCTGCAATGCATTGAATTTTTAGTTACAGGAATATGACATTTCTGTTACATATCTGTGCCTATATAAGTCTTCACAATCTTATTGACGGCTGCAAATTTGTTAAAGCTGCTCTAAACCCTTTCAATCAAATATACTCAGTTACACCCCAGGGAATAACTACTGCCCTCAGTTGTAGAACAACATAAACTGTTTCAGTCTCATTTCCCTAACATTTGAAAACAAGCAGCTCAGCCTTAGCAAAGACAGTGTTAAAAGGCTTAGCCCAATGTGGATGGTAGTCAAGGCAAGAAGCATAATTAAACTTTCTAGTTATTTTATTGGTCTGTTCCCCAGAAACCCAATCTTTCAACAGCCAGATCATCACTAAGTGTTATTAGCGGAAAGGAGTTTTCCTTGTTCCATGCTGGGCAATGCAAACAGGCACTAATACCAAACATACTGGACGCTTATTTCTCCACAGTCCTTGTGTAAATGGCACAACACGTTGAGTATTACATGGTTTAACTGCTGCTTATCCACCGTACATCTTTTTCAGCCATTTTACTTTCTGCTAAGGACAGAAGCGATGGAAAACTAAGAGGCAGATTAGAGGAAAACTGAAAGATAAAAACACCCTAAAATGTTAAGCCTGTTAGTAAAGTAGCATGAATGCTGTGGAAGACAAAGCTATTTTCATCTGCCCATCATTAAGTCTGCAACTTGGAACCTGCTGTTCACCCTGGCCTCTGATGTAGAAATCGGGGGCAACAGTTCTTAAAAACAAATAAGCTGTTTTGTTTAACGAGGCCTGGCCTGCTGCAGATTTGGGTCTCACAGGTCATGCCCCATTTGGATTCTCTAGTGTTTGATAAGAGGTGAGCTGACTTTGCAGCCTTTACTACCATAGAGGAACTAATTCATAACTCTCTCCTCTACCCACCTGTGAATTTTCGTAAAACTTGAAAGAATTGCACATCTTTGAAATCTCTACCTCCCTGCTGAATTTGCCTGAAATTGGTCAACACATTCAAAAAATGGAATGGGGAACAGAGAAAGGTGCAGACAAACATCATGGCTTTATAAATCTCATTCCTTTGGGAAACCCAGCTAGAAACAAAAGTTAAAAGCAGGGAAATACTTCCAAATATATCACTGAAACTTAAAGGCAATGCAAAAAATGTGATATTACAAAAGAAGTTAGCCTACAAATAGTGACAACAAGACTGCAATTACGAAGAAGGAAACAGGAAATCACGACAAGACTACTTGTAAGTAAAGTAGTTACTTTTTAGTAAAAAGCAAAGTAAATCCATCATTTCCTCCTCTGAGCCTAACACCGCTCTTGATTTATACCAGTGAAGGCTCTGCATTATGGAATTAATCATATTTCATGATGCTTGGCTATAATCAGTCTACTGTAAAGTGCACATTGGACACGCCGTTATTCAACCAAGACACTGCCATTTTTTGCCAAGAGCAAGGAAAGTGTAAGACTTTCCACAAATCCAGTCCTACACACTTTCCTTTACCCAGATGCCCCAAGGACCTTCTATGACTTCCTCACATAAATAAAAGCAAGGGGTTTGTAAAGCCAAGCTAAATCTAAAAACAAACCACACAGTGTCGTCAGACCCTGTCTGACCTAGCCAGAGAATCTTGATAGCAAGAGCTCTGGGTTTTTTTTTCTTTTTTTTAAAAACATATAGTTTCAGGAAAGTGTTCCTGACTGAAGGTTCTTGCGCACGATGAGATCACCTGTTATGGCTGAGCTGATTGCGTGGCTCATTGCTGCTCAAACTGGCACGACCCATGCATTTTGTCTCTCTCCCCATCCTTTTCCCAGCTACATGGTCCTGGCCAAGCTCTGGCACTCATCTGACCCAGCCCTGGGTCAATTCAACTCACTAAACCAGCAGGAAAGTAATTCAGTAAAAAAAAGCAGGCTGCTTCTCTCAGAAGTGAAACCATCCCTTGCCCTGTACAGTCACTGGCCAATTCATGCTTCTCTGAAACTTCTCAGAAATGGCGAAACAAATGACTAACATTTTGAGGCAGATGCAGCAGTTTTAAGTCAACTAGAAATCCCTGCTTTTCATGTTTTTAAGACATTCTGATACGAAAAAATGAAAACGAAAAGGGCTGTTGCTTACCATTTGTCTTCTGTTCTCTACCAGGTGGATGCCAACAATCCCTAGGAAAGATCCAAAGCCAAGCTAAGGCAAAGAACAAAACCAACAGAAACACATGAGGTCAGCTTATTTGGTCAACATACCAAAGCATTACAGCGATATCTGAGCTGATGTATCATACAGACGGGCTAACTGGGGTAGTTCAGGGGAGAGGGTGGAAGTTAACTGCTGGACATAAATCACATAATGTAATGGGGAATGACCAGAACTGCGGCTCTTTGATATGTCAGAGCAAAACTTGTCATGTAGTAAATGGAAGCCCGTACAGACATACACTTCTATAACCTGGCTACTGTTACCATAGTCACATATAGTTTTACACAGCATAAAGCAAAAATTAAGCAAAGTAGGAGAAACGAACACTTATATTTAGCCCATATATCATTATTTTGGAAAATTGCAAAGCTTTAGGCAACTGCAGACAAACGGTTTTCCTGAAAAAAAATGGATCTTTTGCTGCCACACAAGAGACCCAAGTTCAAACCCTTAGGGTTGGGTTTGTTTGATTTTAATGACTAAACACTATCACACATCCCAGAAAAAGTTCTTGCTAAAATGCCGAAAGGACCAGTACAGCTGGTCTCAACATGGTACAGCTGCAGCACCAACAGCCACAGGAGAGAGAGGAGGAAGGGATGCTGGAGTAAGCCGGCCCTACTGTTCCTACCAGTGCTGCTTCAACACCAGGCTGGCAGGAAAAGCCCCCTCCTTATGATGGGCCCAGGAAGGTCTGGAGAGGTAGAAACTCCTTGGATTTGTGGTTAACATGAGGTAAAGCAGCAACAGGTGAGACCAGCCTTTCATCAGACCTTCCTGGAGTCAGGACTCCCATTGGGCTCACGTGGGCTTGGAGAAAAGGGGTCTCCTTGGTGCCATGCTCCTGAAACGTAGCTGGCCACAGACTGAGAAGCAGCCAGAGCTGGAGTGCAGGTGTCAACAGGCTCTTTCAATAGAGCTCCCTCCTTGCCTTCCTTGGCCACACACTGCCCTGCGCTCACCTCGGCCTCAATCCCCCATCACTTCCATGCTCCTTGCTCCCCTCTCCACTCGGGCTGACGCTCCTCCCTGCCCAGGCACACCCCCAGTCACCCCCTCAGCTCCCACCCAACCCACCCCATGGATGGGGCATGACATTTCTGCTAAGGAATCTAAGCCCCTTCCTGGAACGAGGTCTCTGAATCTGCTTCAGAGCCTCTCCTCCAAGCACAAGTTAAGTTTTTAAGGACTACGCGTCCCAGCCAAGGGCTTGAGCAATGCCCGTGAACTTGCTGTTATGCACAACCGCTCACAGCAGAAAGCAAATCTCCTGCAAGCCCTTTACTCGCTCAGTATCACAACAGGAATCCGTCACTCCCTCTCAAGAAAGCAAATGTAGGGAGAGTGCTTTGGGAAGATTTATGTGAAAGGGAGGCACAAGGACTAAAAGCAGTCTCTTTGAAAAGAAAGAGTGCACAAGTGCATCCATGCTGACAACTGAATAGGAGAGAGACTTGGAACTGTGAGCAAGGACACTCTGTTCAGGGGACAGCAACTTTGTAAATTAAGATAGCTACATCAAAATGACACCTGGTTCCAAGCCCCATTTTTCATCCCAATGGGGACAATCCATAAAGCCCCATTTATGGCTGATGCAGCGGACACAGAACAGAGTAATATTATCCATGAGGACAAAAAATGAGCACATATGGAACAATAGCAATTAAATCAGAAGGAGCAGAACCATAGATAGAGATCACAATCTAAGCCACGGGATTGCTGAGATTGGTTTAGGGTCACACGCGTTGCTTTTCTTGTCTGTTTAGACAATAGGCTATTTGGGTTGGGAACTCTGGGAGTCCAGGGCAGTATGGTGACTGGGACAATTGGACCCTGTAAGACTCCTGGTTGAAAGATTATAAAAATAGCAAATGAAAATAATACAAGCAGTAGCCATAGAGAAGTGACATTAAATATTTAACTATAAACAATATTTATAAGGAAGTAAGGTTGAAAAAGCTCCAACTCTGGCTTTGCAGCCCATTCCACAAAGACACCCCTAAACCCAAACTGATGATCAAGCAGTAATCTACTAAATGCAGACACCTTCTAAAGTGGTACATTATACTAACTCATCTACACACAAAAATATTTTATGTTAAATTACTTGGGATGCATAAATGCAGGCAATACCTACCACTATAAAGATGTATTTAGAAAAAAGCTTTTTCCAAAACAAATTACAAGTGACCACATATGCAGAGAAATTAAGGCACCTATCTCTTCTTGCAGCCAATGGGAACTAAGCAGAAGCTTATTGTATTATAATATTATAAATTATATTATGGATCTAGCCCTAAAGCCCTGCTCTGCAAATGCTCCTAGATGCAAGTAAATCTGTGCAAGTGGATAGTCTTATTCAGATTTGTAGCTGTTTGCAAGATAGGGACTATTTCTGCATGGTTTTTAAGACCAAAACCCCTTACCTACGGTCACTGGAGATTTAGGTCTCGCCTACCAGCTCTGAAGTTAGTATTTTACTACTGAATGCTATGAGAACTAGACCTTATTTTTAATTGTAATTAACACTATCTGTCCTCATAATCTTTCTTTTCTTTGAGCCCAACAGTTAAATACGTAGTGTCGGATTCACTCCCCTAGCTTTAGGTATCTAAAAGTTTGGAATCAGTGTTATGTTGGTTTTCTAAGCTCCCTCTACTGTCAGCAGAGAAGAGAAGCACCTTTTGAGGGTTATTCAGCTCATTTTGAAAGAGGTGGCTGACTTTGCGCGGAGGCGGAGGAGAGGCCACCCCATAGTCCACCTGTCGATGCTGCACTGGAGTCAGTAACCTCTGGCACCGAGGCAGGAACAGAGCAGTGCTGTCCTACAGCTCTGACCAGCCTTTTGGCAAGGTATCATGCATGGTTTGAGTAGCACCTTTAACTCTTGCTAAATGTTTGGGATATTTAGTGTATTAATGAAGTTTACGCTGACAATTGCCCATCACTCTTTCTCAGTTACTTCAATAATCCATCACGTGCACAAAAAGAATTCTGAATTTTATGAAAATTATTCAGCTCCAACAATCTTTTGAGGGGGAAAATTATTAATAAAAAGTTTTGTTTTCAAAGTGTTCTGATAAATTCTAGCTATTCTATCTGGTTATTAACGACTCCAAGATTTAAAAAAAAAAAATTAGTAGATTATATTTTTCAGCTGAATGAATAGACATTGTGTTATTGCTAAAAGAAACTAAATGCTGAAATAAACTGGTTTGTGCACATGGGTTTATTACTTATTACACTTATTAAAGACAACAGTTTAAAAATGAAACTTCTTTCAAGGGTATGAATGTGGCTAATATGGTCTTCTAAAATATTTTAATTCAAATTACAGAAGAAGAAGAGACCTTTATCAGTATTAATCTATCTATTTTAGCTTAATGAAAGGAAAATTCATTCTTTTAAAGTTTTATTCTTGGAACTACTTTTTGTTCTATTTTTAAAACACCCCTCCTTATAGATCATTATCCCCAAATTATCTTTCTGAAAGACCTGTTCTCAGCATGACACTAAGATGTAAGAGGAGACTTGCTTAGGAGGAACAGTTCTAACTCACAAATTATTAATGGCAATGCAAAATGTATGCACAGTACTAAAGGATACGTAATCCCTCTTCTCTGGGCATTTCATTCCATAGAGAACAAGAAATAATGGTACCTTACAACACATTTTGGCAGTGGTGGAAATACATACCTATGCAGGTGCCTAACTCTAAGTACATGAGTTTGTTTCTTCACCTTGCACCCTCTGCCTTCTCTTGGCTGGCTTGGGGAGACCAAACGAGGCAGACGGGCCTTTCTCTATTTGCTGCCCATACTCCGCCTTTTTAAAACTCAGCCCAGGTATCTCAAAAAACCTTCTGGCTCCAGGGGTTTCCAGCCTTTTGGATATGACCAATCTCTTCTTCCAAGATCAGAAAGGGCCATGAGGGTTGAACCGGCAAGGGCCCTGGCAGGGCTACCCCTCCCCAGAAGTCACAGAGGCACCACAGGGCAAAGCAGACACAACTCAAACCTTGTGCCCCGTGCAGGAATGTGTTTAAGCAGTCTGTTCCCAAGGCGAAAACAAGACTAAGGATTTCGGAAGGGGATCTTGTACAAGAGGACTGACAGCAAGACTGCACAAGAAGGTGTTAGGCAGGCTCCAGGGAGAAGCTTCCATATGCCCATGCACAGGGCTTTCCCTGTGATGGACCCTGGCACACAGACACAAGAGCGGAGTGGCTCTTTCTGCCATCAATGTAGTAAACCTCAAAAAGGTCATTTAAATCTCTCCCATGCCTACTGTCCAGTCACTTCTATGCCCAGGTTTAACAGAGATCAGTGGGAAGTCAAGCACAGGTTCTCACACAGGCCCCTGAGCCCAGCATACTGCTGTGCAGTGCGGCCTTGACCCCCCTCTGCCCCCTAACAGCCTCCCCTTTGGGGCACTTCAGAAAAACAGGGTTTACCCCCTACCTCATCACACACTAGAACTAGATCAAAACAAAGGAGTATCTCTCTCCTGTGAAATGCAACAGGACTGAATTTTCTTTCTTTCTTTTTTTTTTTTTTTAAATCAATCAGAACTTCCCGTATCCAGCTGATAATAATTTATCTGATCGTAGCCAATAATCTCAAATAGGTTTCTTTACTCACAACGATGCCTGGGTAGTAGCCTCCCACGGTAACATTTTCTGTTCTTGTGGTAGCTGCCAGACCTATGGTCAGTATGAAAACAGACACTACCAGCAGAGAGACTGTGAACCAAAGCGAAGTCTTCTTCCTTTTTGCAAATTGTCCTGTAGGGAGTGGGGAGGAAAAAAAAAAAGAGAGCTTTTCATTGCAATCGTGGCAGAATAAATACAAAGTAACGGAAGATTTTCTTTTGTTAATCTTTTCTGTTGTTAACCCACTGTTGTTCTCCCACTAAGGAAAAGAGCTAGCAGACAACAGAAGGAATGAAAAACCACAGAGTCAGCTAGAGCTCAGCATAGCTTAATGCACACACATTGGGTACGTGCACGAGACGAGTTTTTATTAAGCTGAACTGAAAGTCAGTGACAATGATAATTATGCCTTGTCTTCAGTAACGTTTATAATTAAGTGTTGCTCACATCCATAAGTCAGATCCTGCAGGCCTGAAACGCTTACCTACGTGAAGTGCCAATTTGACTCTGCCTGGACAGAACATAAAAATTTGTATTTTAAACAAGATTAGCAGAAGCTCTGCATGCTATCACAAAAATGGATGTGCTCTTTATATTTACTAGGACAAGCAAACCAATCTGCATCTCTGAAGCAAAGCTGTAATATAGGTCATCAGGTAATGATATATGGGACTACATTTTTAAGCAGTAGCTGCTCAGTGAAATACATTCAGTCTCACTGGGATTTGGATTCAGATACCCAAAAGTGAAAAATGGCAGGCTCATCTACTGCTTTCAGCCTGCTTCAAGCCACTTAATCTTGTTATTGCTGTGGCGTATCAGAGCTGCAACCACAGGTTACTCACATCACAGCCCCAGCCCACAGCGCAGACTGATGTAAGACATTTAAAAACAGCACTTGATACATGACCCTCACTAACAAAAGGCACCCAAATGAACCAAATTGTGGTCTTTTGTGCTTTGAAAGGCAAGGCGAGACCGTGCAGGATCACCCCTGCAGCACTGGGCCGTGCGGTGCTGTGCTACCCGAGGCTGCGACGGGGCAGCACAGAGCTCCAGTGTCAGCACAACCTCTCCCCATTGCACATTGCCTCCTCCGCGACCTCACGAAGCTGCCTGCACGCCCAGTCGCGGGGTGAGGCAGAGGCTGTGGTGTCGCACGGAGTACTGGAGGCAACAGCCCTCGCCAGGGGTGGGTGGCTGAGAGGGGAAGGCCGCCTTGCGCGGATCAGGCTCTGAGGGTGAGGCACGATGGTGCTGCTGTAAGCAAGAGCAGGGGAAGCGCAGGAAAGCCAAAAAGCAAGCAGAAGCCATTCGCAATGAGTCATTTGAGTTATGTGGCCAATTTAAAGTCAGGTAACTCGGTTAAATGTTTACAGTTCAAAAGCCAGGCTAGATTACTGATGTTTGCAAACCAAGTCAAATAATTTCAATGAATAAATAAATAAATGCATTTATAATAAAAATCCGTGTTTTCTGACATATCTCCAGTAGAACAACCAGCCAAAATGAGTCCAGTCTTTTAGTATGAAATGCAAGCAACTGTACTGAAGACAAACATCATCTATTGAGCTTACACAAGTCTCTTTCACGTGCATGTACAAAATCTTCCTGCTAAAGATCAAGAAATAATTCATAAGACTCTCCAGACATCTCTCCTCCAGCCTGTGCCCCAGCTGTCTGCCTCTGGCAATTCCCTGTTAATCCATGGAGGGTCACTGGGGACATGGAAATGGAGAGGTTCTTCATTGTCAATCAGTTCTTCACCAAGTGCATGGGGTTAAAGGCAGTTCTTTCGATGAAACCAGTTCACGTGGACAAGAGGGGAAAGCAGACTTCAGACTTGTAACTCCACGAATCGGTTTCCCTTACCATAAACTGATTCATTCAATGTATCTACCAGATTTTTAAAAATATCTGATGTCTTTGCCGCACTCTGTCATCTTTGAAAAGTCATGGAGATTGGGGAATCCCCAATAACTGAAGAAAGACAAATACTCCACCTATCTTTAAAAAAGGCCAAAATGATGATTCGGGGAATTACAGGCCAATCAACCTCACTTTGGTTCCTGGGAGGCTGGGACCAAAAATATGGAGCAAATCCTCTTGTAAGACATTCCTGGGCACATAAGGAAAAGGTGACTGGCAACAGTCTGCATGGATTTACCAGAGGCAAATCACGTCTGACCAAATCAACTGCCTGCTGTGACAAAACGACTGGACTTGTGGAGCAGTGGATGTCTTCTACCTCAAACCTAGCAAGGTTTTTAACGCGGTATCCCACAACATTCTCATAACCTCATAAAAACTCATAATCATAAGCCTCATATAAACTCATAATCTCATGGGTTCAGAGGGCGTGGTTCGTGGACTGTACTCTACCTGGAGGCCAGTAACAAGTGGAGTACTGTGGGGGTCTGTCTTGGGACCTGTCCCATTTAATGTATTTACCAATGACTTAGAGAAAGTGGTAGCGTGCCTGCTCATCAAGCTGGCAGACGACACAAAATTGGGGGGCCGGTCAATACCCTGGAGGGCAGGGCTGCCATTCAAAGGGATCTAGGCAGGCTGGAAGATTGGGCCAGCAGAAACCTTACAGAATCCAACAGACAGATGCGAAGTCCTGAGCAAAGGAAGGAATAACACCTTGCAATGATACAAGCTGGGGACTGCCAGGCTGGGGAGCAGCTCTGCTGAAAAGGACCCAGGGGTGTTGGTAGACAATGAGCCAAACATGAACCAGCAGTGTGCCCTGGCAGCAAAGAAGGCCAACAGCATCCTGAGCTGTATTAACAGGAGCATCATCAGTAGATCAGAGGAGTAACTATGCCCCTCTATTCAGCACTTTTTAGACCACATATAATATCACATCCAGTTTTGGGCCCCCAGACAGGAAATACATCAGCTAACTGCAGTGATTTCAACAGAGGACCCCAAGGAAGGTCAGGGGGCTGGCGCACTCGCTGTATAAGAGGCTGAGGGAACAGGGCTTGCTCAGCATAGAGATGAGATGGCTTTTAGCAGGGCTAGTAGCAGTCTTCCAGTGCCTATGAAGTTGTTGTCAAGAGGAGAGACTCAGGCTTTTCACAGTGGTGCACGGCAGGAGGACAAAAGACAGTGGACATAAACTGAAACACAAGAAGTGTTTCAGACTGGGTATAAGGAGAAAAAATTTCAACATTAGGACAGTTAAGCATTTTGTGCTGTGTCCGTCTTGGAGGTTTTAAGATCCAACCAGAAAAAGCCCTGGGCAACGTGGTCTGACCTCATAGCTGTCCCTGCTTTGAGCAGGAGGTTGGACTAGCAACTTCCTGAGGTGCCTTCCCACCTGAATTAGTGTATGGTTTTATGATAGCCAAGAAAACTAGATGAAAGGTGGCTTGGGTATGTGTGCTCATATCCACTGTTATGAAACTGCAGCTGCAATGTAGACATACTCTAAAGGGATGTAGAAACACAAACCTTCAGAAAGTCAACGGGACAGACACTCCTCAGCCAAGTGCTTCTGAAACCACTGAATGTCTGCTTTTACAAAAAGTGCCTGAGGAGACAAGCCTCCACATTTTTCTCAATGTAACACTTTACTGGCAAAGGTTAATCAGATTGCATGGAGATAAACTAAGGGTCCAACCTGCCCTCCAGAGTTTTGGTTAGCAATAATGATGTGCAAAAAAGAAAGACATTAGTTTGATTGCCCGGACTGAGTTTCCTGGAAAATGTCTTAGGAAAAGCATGCTCTTATTTGTAACTGGAGTAAATTGGATGTGGATTTACTGCGATAAAACAGAAAAGGATGTCATTATTTGTAGGGTCATTTTTCAGACTGAACTACATTTTAACTTCAAAATGTGTATGTGCCAGAAAGCATAATCAATTTATGTATGTGATACCCTTCAATCCTCATATTTGTTGATCTATTCCCAGCTACATCTCAAATCAGATACAAATATTCAATCATATCTGTTCTTTTTCGCACTCCAGTTTGGAAACTCTCATAACTACGTGTAGTTAGCTATAAACTGCACCCTTAGTGGAGATGACTTACAGGCAGGAACACAGCAAGGCCCCTTCCGGAGCAGAGACTGATGCAAGCCCTTGTTCTCAAAGACTGCCACATGCTCAGAGAAAATGGGCAGAAATTAGGTCTAAATTGGTTTCTGCTCTGTCTGTCTGGGTTTCCTTAGTCACATCAATAAAAATCTTTGCTGTATCTATCAAAGTGTATAATTACATGTATATAAGTCACCAGCATATTGTGAGGACCAAGTAATATTCGTAAAGCAGCATAATATCTTCAGACGAAAAAGGCTACAGCTGCAAAGGGTTCCTACTGTCAGCTCCCTTCTGCTATTTTGGTCATGTTGGCTCCTGAGATTTTTCGAGTCTTTGTTTACTGGTGTTTGTAGCCGTTGCCATACAGGTTTTTGGATCTGTTTTTAACGTAGCTACCAGCCAAACCCCAATGCCAGACTGTTCCCTCAGGACCCTGCCCACAGCACAGACAGAGGAGCTGGCCCAGCCTTCTTCCCTGACGCTCTCTGTAGCAGGGCTTGGACCGAAGGCCGACCGTATACAAGAACAGCAGTTAAATTAAGAGCAGAGGAAATGTTGCTGTCACTATTTCTAGGTTGAATTTTCTTCCAACACCAACGTTCCTGTAGTGCAGGAAACAGTTAATGTAGGCTATTGACTTTACAATTTTTTTAATACTGAAGTGACTCTCAGAATAATTTTGACATTTATCCCCTTTAACTTCTTTAACAATGATTCAGTGAACATAAAACTCTCAGTCTGGACCTTACTCCAATTTAGTTTCAGCTTCAAATTCATATTTCTAGCATACCAAAAATCAAGCGTGTAGAAAGAAATCTTCTCATCATGTCCTTATTAGCATTACCTTGAGGCCAGGGTCAACAGAGGGTGTGAACATGTTATTACCTTCTACTGACAATATTCTTCAGCAGTTTTGGCCAGCGAAGTATTAACTGAGTTTTGATACTGCAGCAATGGGCACTACAATAAAAGTTGGGAGATAAAGTAGAGAGGTAATGCTGCTTCCACACCATGGCTCGTGCTCTGCCTGGCATTGACTTAAATTGTGCATGAAAAGGAGCAGTCCCAGAAACAATCCC